ACCCCACCTTGATGTTTCGGGACCCCACTTTGGGTCCCGACCCCAACTTTGGGAAACACTGAGGTAGAGGAGCCAAATGTCTGGCTCACTGCTGCCAACTAGTGGTCAGAGGCTGAACTACAACATAAAAATGAACGGCTGGCAGGAAAGTTGACATTTTAAACCTTAATTAAAAATCGATACAGGGCTTTAGAATATCGATACAGTATCAGGAAATGAAATATCGCGATATTTCAGTGCATCTATATTTTCTTACACCCCTAATAAATACATCTCTTCAAATGTGGAAAAACAAAAAACACTAGTTTATCTGCTAACGCCTGTTATTTGTTTAAAATATTTCAGTCCTTTAGTTTAAAGTCAATATGTTCTGACACAGTTAAAGAACACAGGAAAAAACACAAAACGGAACTAAAAATCAAATAAATCTGGTACTTATATGTACACAGACCTGCCAGAACATTATAACCACCTCCCAATCTCTAAGCAGTTCTTTGTTTCCCCAACAACACACATGTATTATAGCTCTGATTAGTATGAACATAAACTAAACAGTTTCAGAACAGCTCTGTGGGATGTGGGCTTTAAAAAAAGTGTATACTTTGCACAAATTAAATCTGACTCAGATTAGAATTGATGTGTTTGGGAGGCAGAATACCTGTGATAATTTACCAAAGTTCAGCATTTTTAAGTGCAGAGACACAGATCTCATTTGTGTGAGCAGCAGGGCCGGTCATAGATATTTGGGGGCCCTAAGCAAGATCTGTTTTGGAGGCCCAACTTCACCGTAAGTAGATCGTAAAAGATACACAAAACTAAATGCTGTATGTAATTATGAACCCGGTGCAGAAAATTTGACCTCTAAGAACACAGTTTACTGACTGATCTGAATGATGCTCAGTGTTGAAACTTTTAGTATGAGATTAACTTTGCTTTGAGTTCTACAGGACTCCAARTTTAAAGTTTAAACAAATATTTATGATGTCAATTCAACAGACTAAAAAAAAGATTATAGTATACGTTTAAACATTTATTCTCTCAATTATAACTGGTAACAAGGAAAGTACATAAATAAAACATTGAATACACATTCAAATCTTAACATAATAAAGTATTTACAAAATGTAAAGCTTAATAAATGTATTAAACATTTTTAAAAAATGCATTAATTAAAAAAATTATAACGAAAAACATGGAAATATATTGTTTAAAACAACATCTAAAAATCTTGAACACCAGAATTAAAATCTTAATTGCAGATTAAACCATTGTAAAGGTAAAAATAAAAGTGCGGGGGACAGAGGCTACAGATAAGGAAAGTGAGGGGGACATGTCCCACGTGTACCCCGCGTCCATTACACCCATCTCAGTGTTAACTCTGTGGTCAGTTCAGTTTACCATGCTTCTGTCTCGGGGGCCCCTAGTGGCCGCGGGGCCCTGAGCAGCTGCTTAATTTGTGGTCCGGTTCTGGTGAGCAGACTGTGTAAGATGAATTAATACATGGACATGTTTGGTAAATGGTTTGACTCATTATGGCTCCTCCAACCCAGTTATAAA